AGCTTTGATATCCTTCTGGGTCTTGAGAGATTTGAGATTTGCTTGATTTATTGAGCAAACCTATTTGTTTTGAGATTCCTTGTAGTGTCAAGAAAGGTGTCAACCTACATTGGCCTGGCTGCAAGCTTTGTGAAGTTGATATTGACTTCCCTTTTTTGACTATGAATCAGTTTATGTTGGCTTATTTCCTTCTTCTTAGGAAAGAGAAAAAGATCAAGGTTGTTGATATATATTGTGTTTTCTCAGTGATCACCAGATTAAAACTATGTACGAAGTGTTGTTCTGTGCTAAGATGTCTCTTGTATATTGGTGTTGTGAGAGTATGTGTCTTGAGTTGTGTATATTGTCTCTTTTCTTGGGTGTATTGCCTAAAAAGGAAATTTCTAAGGATCTGAGGGATTGGCGGAAAGAGTTTTTTTTTTTATCTTTAAAATTCTATAAAAGAAGTATTTTATATATATTTATTTTTTATTCTTTTCTATATTAAATTTTACATATAGGCTTGTTAGTTTTAAATTTTTTGTCTCTATTTTTTTTTAATTCAGTTTTGTTTTGTCTATTAGTAAGTTATTGTTTTACTATTTACTTTTTTGATAAACTATTTTATAGAATTATTTATTGTTATTATATATATTATCTCTTGATTTCTATAATAATCTTATAAAAAGAAGATTATTTTATTTTATTATAAAAAGTTTTAAATATTCTTTGAAGTGAGTCTTAATCTTTATTATTTCTTGATATAAGTTTTTTTTTTTTTTAAACTACAATTAATATTAGATGCAAGCACTTTTATTAAGAATTAATTTAACATTTTGGATAATAAAATCCTAGGTATTACATCAATTATCTTATACAAATTATATATTTTTATATATATGCAGATTAATAATAACCTATCATGATTTTTCCTAGATGAACTTACTACCACTTTATAAGTGGGACAGGCCCAGCTAGGAACCAGACAGTTAATACATAGTCATCGATAGTGAAACAGGCTAATTTAGTATTGAGCTTTTATAAATTTTTGTAATATATTTACTAAACTAATCTGTATAATATATACTTGATGGAATTTAGTTTACCCTCTAATACTCTCAGATATTATTTGCTCAGATCTTGGAAGAGGATACTTTACCTTCTTTATTACTACCTATAACATTGGATCATCCCATTTGATTAATTTTCATTTAAGCAAAGTACCATATTGGGATATCCTAAGCTAAAAGAATGGAAATTCTGGAGACTGCCAGGGCAGGAAATTTTTAGGATGTTATTGTAGGCTAGATCAGAAGCCTTTCTTCATGCAATCCTTTTAGTAGTATGACCATAGATCTTAGTCCCTGATCAATAAAAGGTCAGAAGTCTCATCTTCATATAGTCTAATCTGATTAAAGCTTGTTTCAGATAATTGGATATAACTTTCATAGGATAACTGGTAAACCTGATCAGAAGGATAATTTTTGATTTGATCCTTAAGTGGTATTGAACTACAGACCATATGATTGTGACCTGGGAGTATTATTATCGTACTATTGATCCACAGATCAATATAAGTTTTTTTTTTTATGATATTTAATATTTATATCTATAGGAATTATTATTTTTTTAATTAATTCACAATTCTATCAAAATAACTTGTTTTTATTAAGATACTTGAAAAAATATCAAAATAATCTGCAGATTTTCTTATATAATAAATAACCTGTTTTTATATATTATTGATTGAAAGATTATATTACTTAAAAAATATGAAGTGTTTACTAAGCTAATTTAGACTAAACTAAACTAAGTCTTAATTAAATACTTTAAGTTAGATTTAGAGAATAATATTATACTTTTCTAGTAGCTTGATATAGTACCTCTAACTCAAATAAAATCATGCTAACAGTTTGTCACTGTGATTATTTTGAAAAATGATAAATTGTTAAAGTTGATACAGAGAAAGGAGCAAATGAAACACTCTTCAAAAGGTTCTTGTTCTATTTCATAGTTTTTTATTAAAAAGAATTTTGTTTGATTGTGATATTCTTATTTGCTTCATTTAAATCTCGGAAGAAGTCTTCTTTATTATCACTTATAGTTTCAAAGAAATCTTTATTTAAGCATATATCAGATTGAGATAGTTAAAAAAAAAACTAAAAGACCTCAATTTCTACTCTAGAAAGTCTTTTTATTACTTGAGAAACTTAGAAAAAAGATAGAATTTTTTTATATAGATTTACCTTATCTTTCAATATTATACCTATTTTTTGAAAACTAAACATGTATAAATGAAGGCAAACTTCTTTTAAAACTTTTTTTTCTATGTTATTTATAATTTAATAGGAATATATAAATATAATTAATAGAAGCTTATTTACTTTTTCTAAAACCAATATGTTTCATATCAGTCAATTACCTTTAATGAGAATTTGTACTATCTAAAATTCAGAATCAAACTGAGATAAATAAAATTTTCCAGAAAATTGTAAAAGTGAAAGCTCTAAGAGGATCAAGACAGTCAAAAAAAAAAATAATCTTTTTTATTACAAAAAACCTCTATAAACCTCTCACTTCAAAAATCAGATAGGCCTTCAGATATTTCACATTCAATTCTTTTTTCTTTAAAAACTTTTTTGCTTTTGATATCAAAAGTATTATTTGACTTTTCTTAATCACCAGGAGTTAAGTTTTTGAGTAAAAAGGTTTGTAAATAAAAGGAAAAGGGTAAAAGCAACTTTTGAAGTCATATTTCAAGTTGTTTTAAAGAAAGTATTAAAACTTTATTAGCAAAGAAGTATAAAAACTTTTTGCGAACATCTTTTTTGTGTGGTTAGAGGATTAGTAGAAAGAGTTTTTGGTTATTTTTATGATTTCAGAATTATATTGAGTTTATAAAAGAATAAATATTTTTATACTTTATATTGTTTTTTTTTTCTTATTAAATAACTTTAAAAAATATATAAACTTCAACTTTTAATTTTTTTTTATAAATAAATTTTTTTGAAAATCAAATTTGTTTAGAAAAAAAGTTTTTTTTTTTTTAAAGAGTTTTATTTATTTGTTTTAATAACTCTAAATAATAAAAAATTTTTTTTTCAAATAAATTTATGATTTTTTTTTAAAAAAAAAATAGTTTTAAGAAAACAAAAAATCAAGTCAATTAAAAAGCAAACAATTTTCATATAATAATTTTTAATTGAAAGATTTGTAAATATATCATTTATAACCAAGACTTTATTAATTATTTTAATAAAAAAAATATATAATAGTTTTTATAAAAATAAATCTATAAAAGTTAAAAGTTTTAAGAATAATTTTATTTATTTTTATTTTTATTTTTTATTTTTATAAATATATTTTTATAATTATATATATTTTTTTTCTTTTTTATTTTTCTTTTTTAATATAATTTTTTATTTTGTTTAGTAATATGAAAAACAATTAGTGTCGACAATTGATTAACAATAAAATAAGTAATTAAACTTTACTTAAAGTATTTATAAGGCATTAAATTGTTTTTACAATTAAATTTAAAACTTTTGCTTAAGATAAGTTTATTAATAAAAGGTTTAGTTTAAATTAGATTATATATACAGACAACTCTCGAGTATATTAGTATATTTTGTACTAAATAATTAATAAACTTAATAAACATATGCTACTAACTTGATTTAATAAATTATTGTAAAAAAAAAAGATAAAAAATATTTTATTATATATTTATAATAGTAATATAACAATTCTATTGTAAAACCTAAAATTATATTTGAATTGTCAAAATAAATAATTATTAGTAATAAAATCTTGTAGAAAATTGTTAATTTATTTTAAAAAATACTAATATGATTATAGTTTTGTATTAACAATAAATTATTTTCACTTTTTAAAACAAGTTTATGACTTGCAAAAATTAATCCGGTAATGAGTAAAAACAATCTTTCTCCGCGATATTAACCTTAAACGGTAAATCTGCAAATTTTCAATTTAAAAAAAAATTTTTTTTCTTTTAATATATATAGTTACTAAAAAAATACATATCATACATAAATATATTAGAGTGAACAAGAATAAATTATTCTGAGTAAAATCAGTAAGATCATTGTCTGTATGAGAGAAAGGTATTCGATTGGAGTTTTTTTTTTTCATTCCTGCACACTGAAATATAAACTTTTTGTGAAAATGATTCTACTTTGAAATAAGAATCTCGATAAATTTACATCAATTTCTACCTAATTAAATATTACACAACTTTTTTTACAATAAATAGAAATAAGAATAATATTTAAATGTTTCTTAGCCGACTCCAAAAAAAAAAAAAGAAAAAAAAAAAAATCCAAAAGGAAAAAAAAAAGCTCGATCGTCATCTCTTGGCCTTGAAAGCATTTGGTGCCACACCGACCAGCCTCTTCCGTCCCTCCCCAATACCATACATAGTACCATCTACAAGTGCTTCTACAACTACCCAGATGGACGTTATGAATCCCAGTATGAATACCACCAGTATGAAAAGGAAGGGTACAAAATCATCGAATACTTTTGAAACTTGTGCATTAGGTTGATTCAATGCCCTACCGACGAGATCAGATATGACGAATGCGACCACGAATAAGCAGTAAATGGTCATGATAATACTTTCCCTGACACTGCTGGTTCCGATTCGCCACCATTTCGCGCCATAATTGACCTCATGAAATTTGGAGGCATCGACACGCTTTTTCTCCTCGAAAAATAACGCAAAGAACATCAACGGTGAAAAATATATAACAGTGAATGTTGGATCAAATCCTTTGCTCCTAAGATCTGTGTATGTCCATCCCGTTACAAATATGACGTATAGAATAAAAAAAAGTATTGGTAAAATCACCAATCCAATGAGATTGGACGCGTAGTTCTTTCCGTCAGTAGTAGTCGTACCATTAGATGTCGAAGATCCCTCACTTAACTTGTAACATGCATAGACGATGTTGAATATTACCAGTTGGGAGAACCACGTGACTCGCGCCAAGATTTGGATACGAGATAGAACCAGGCCAAACGGAGGAGAAAGAAAAGCGTAATGAGTTGAGAATGATAACCCACCTCCACCTCCACCGGAGACAAGAGTCAATGGTAAGAGGTCGGAGGACTCACGATGATGGTGGTATGATTCATCTCTTGATCTACGTTGTTCTCTTTCTCGATCCCTGAATGATTGTTTCTCTGGCGTTTTGACACCCTCCTTTGGTACATATCCTGTGTGATAGAGAAAAGAAGGATTTTATTATACAGGTCTAGTGATCTCTTTAGAAGGACAGAATCGAAATTTTTATATCATTCATGTTTTAGAAATTTCAGAATTCAATAGTCTCAACACGAGAAATTAATAAAGAAAGTCATGAGCCTTAGCAAACCTTTTGGAACTTGTAGTTGCTCCGGACTTTTTTGGTGTATTCCTTTTTCCACATTCTCACGTGTCAATTCATGCCGAGGTTCACTCAGCCTGGTGGGCGAAAGACCAACTCTTTCGGGGATTTCCGGGACATCCCTCGTACTCCGGGTTTCATAAGGTGGAGTGGGACTTGCGACCAATACTGGGCCCGAAGGAATATCTATTCTAGTTGTTTGAGTTTCTTCCTCTTCACTGGTACTTTCTTCAGCAAACAGGTCTTCATCAACACTCGGTCTTGTCTGTATTGATTCCGCAGCCATTGATAATTCCGACGGTTGCCGCTCATGACGTGGGAGCGGAGCTGTGTACGAGCGTTGTGGAGGTATCACTGGAACTCTATAAGGTTGACCTGGCTGTAGCATGGGTCCCACAGTACTTGCAATGCGTGCCGGGTCATCGGTTTCACTGTCGGAGGAAGACGCGTCCAATTGATAAATGGGAACGGTATGCAAGGATTCGCTTGGAGCTTCCGAATCGTCCACTGGCTCCATGTCTGCGAAATTCTAATAGGGACAAATATTTGTAATGACACCTCAAATATTTGAATGAGGACGATTTTTTTTTATTCAAAGAGAAATGGCTAAAAGAATTTTGTTCCGAAATTCAGAAGTGTGATTTTCGAATAACGTTGCACCAATCTTCATAATAGGCAGTCTCGCCATACCAAAGCCGCCCGTCTGATATGTAATGACAATTTAATCCCTAATTAAAGAACTACATACGCACGTACGTATTTAGATACATCGATCGATCAGCGGCTTCCGTTGACACAAGCATAGCCTTACTCTTTTTATATCATAAGCCCTGAAAATCAAAGCCAAGGCCGCGCCTTGATGTATAATTTTTTAAATCACAATCCGTGCATACGACGAGGCAAAACTCGAAAAAATCTTGGAGTCTCAAATGGAGTTTGGATATTGGTAATTGCGCATCCGCGATCGCATATAAGTAATTTTTCGACGCTTTAGAGATCATTAGCGCTCCGTCGAGCGGAACTCTGCATAAATAAAAAAACCAAGAAATCTTTTTGCTTATACTCGTGTGGCATCCGACGATTCGGTAATATAAAAAACAGCCACAGCAGTGGCAAAGTTGAAACGTGTATCTAAGCGTAAACCGAAATTGGATTATTATTTGGAGGCATTTCAAAATTCTCTATTATTGCACATTAAATTTTCTTGTTATACGTGAAATGTGAATTGGGATACGCCATCTAGTGGCACTTGTTTGATTGCCATTCCGATGTTTGTTATCAGTCACGTTAAACATATACATTTGTGTGCTGAAAAAAAACCGCGGGAATGCTACGGAGAAGTTCGAGTGACTGCGTGATGATATAAGGATTTAACATAAACTTGTTCTACTATAGAACGAAATCTTTCTTGTTATACCTGATTTGTCATGGTTTTTTTGCAACCTTCGGACGACACACCTTAAGCTTTTTTCGCGGTGCATCTTTGACCATATCAGATTTATTGGCGGATGAACAGTTACCATCAGTTTTCTTCGGGCTTTTGGCTGTACCAATTTTATCGGTGGTTGAATCATCATTTGCACCCTTCGGGCTTATGACTACCGAAGAGAGACCATCAGAAAGTTTCGAGTCGTGAGTTTTATCGGCATCCACAAATTTCACCTGACCTGTTAAACAAGTATTGGTTGAGGGTTCGCCATTTGATTGTTGTTCAGATAAGTTCCGAGTATTTTTAGATGACGCTTCAGGTTTGTCTGATTGATAATGTGTGGCGGTGAGATCTATGATTTTTGGAGGAGGTAGGTCCAAAATGGGCACCTTTTGTGTCAGATCAAAGAAGGACGGTTTTGGTAGAACGGTGTGCACCGATGCCTTCGGAAATACGTGATCCCCGTGATTTCTTGTGTTGCATTCTAAGGACTGCTCGAACGTATTGGAATGATCGGCGATATGAGATCGTTGGTGAAATTGTTGCGAATATCTCCATTAAGTGACGAAGAGTATAATTTTAGTATACCAGAGAGGTGAAGGTTGACCAAGATGAGAGAAAGGTAGATTCGACATGATTCATACAGCATATCAAATTTTTGTTGGCGTGGCCACGGTACATTGAATACATCGTGGTTGTCACAATCATCATTAAAATATTGCTGGTACCTAAAAATATGATTATTTAAATTCTTGAAATCACTTTGACAAATCGACAAATTCCCCTTACAAAGATTCAAATGCACTATTGCATAAAGATCTCGTTTTCGGTTCCTCGGGTATTTCTCCGAAGTAATACTCGTACCTATGATATTTCGTGACGCGTCTTAAACATTCCGTCCAATAAATGTGGAATTTCTCGGAAAATGTAACATACCAGTGATCAAAGTTACTGTGACCAGTTTTCAATCGGCGTCTCGCCAGCGCGTCGCAATCTTTAGCTGATAAGATTGGTCAAGGACGTTGATAAAACTCACGAACTCTAACGAGCTATTAATTTTTTAAATGCACATTCCCATAGACGTACCATCCATCAAAAGTATGTGTTGTGATAATGAGGTTAATTCATCCGAGTTTTCTTTATAACACAAAATCAAACAAGCCAATCAAATTCAATTGCGTGTACGATAAATATTATAGTATACCTATTTCAAAAAGTCTAAAACTTTATGAATACATTCTTTTATTGATAATTTATTTATAAAGTGAGAAAAAATTTTATTATTATAATTTTTTTAAAAACTCTTTTTATTATCTTTTAATTATACAAAAAAAAAAAGTTTGATAACTTCTTTATTAATATTTTCTGTAAAATAACAAAGAATACTTTTACAAATTACTATTATTTCATTTTAGCACAAATAAATTATCAATTCATTTCTACTATATAATTTGATATAAATAAATTATCAATAATTTGATATTAATATATTTTTATTAAAAAAAAATTTTTTTTTAACTCACAATCATGTTATAATGACTTGTTTTTATTAAGAAATTAAAATAAAATTTACAATAGTTTACAAATTTTCACAAAGTGATCAACTCATTTCATGCATAACACTAGTTGAAAAAAAATAATTTGACATACTGCCACTTATATAACATTTAGCAAAAAATAAACAATTCGACAAAAAAATGATATAAATAAATTAGAACTATATAATTTATCTACAAATATTACAAAAATCAGTATATTGACAATTCATCAAAAAATTCATTAATAATTTATCATATAATTCATTAACAATTTGGCAAAAATTCATTAAAAGTTTGTTACAAAATTATTTATTAACAATTCAATAAAAATTTCATATTAATTTATTAATAATTTATCAAAATTTATCAACTATTCATCAATTATTTGTCAACTATTTGTCAACTATTTGTCAAAACTATTCATTAAAAATTTGTCAAAAATTCATTAACTATTTATCACTATTCATCAACTATTCATTAACTATATTTGCAACTATTTGTCAAAAATTCATCAACTATTCATTAATTATTCATTAATTATTTGTCAACTATTTGTTAACTATTTGTTAACTATTCATTAATCATTTATCAACCATTAGTCAACTATTTATTAACTATTCATTAAAACTATTCATTAAAAATTCATTAACAATTCATAAAAAATTCGGCAACTATTTATTAAATTATTTATTAAAGGTTTATTAATCATTTATTTAAAATTTAGCAACTATTTATCAACAATAAAGTAAAAAAATTAATAAATTTATGCATAAAATTTTTTGAATTAAAATTATATTTATAAATTATGAATAATACAAACTATAATTTAATTAATTATGTATTATTATATAAATAATATCAAATAATTTATAAATATAAATGATTTTTTTTGTAAGTTTTATAAATTTTTGTTAAATAATAGTTATCGAATTTTTCATAAATAATTGATGAATTTTTGATAAATTATTAATAAATTAATTCAAATTTTTAATAAATAATTTTGTAACAAACTTTTAATGAATTTTTGTTAAATAATTATTGAATTTTTGATGAATTGTTAATAAATTTTTTGTTAAACTTTTAATTAATAAATTTTTGATTGCCGAATTTTTTTATTATTAAATTTTTGATTGCTGAATTTTTGATTACCAAATTTTTGATTGCCACTTTATTGCCAAAATATAATATATAGTGAAAATAATATAATTATATTATTTCTATTTAATATAGGTTATTTCTACTCAGATATGTGTCATAATCCAAATTTTATGACATAGACTAAAGTGTTGTAATCCAAATTTTATGACACAGACTAAGATATTATGATTTAAATTTTATAACACAAACTAAAGTATTGTAATCCAAATTTTATGACACAGACTAAAATATTATGATTTAAATTTTATAACACGAACTAAGGTGTTGTAATCTAAATTTTATGACATGGACTAAGATGTCATGATCTAAATTTTATAACATGGACTAAGATATCGTGATTCAAATTTTATGATATGGACTAAGGTATTGTGATTCAAATTTTATGATATGAACTAAAGTGTCATGATCCAAATTTTATATCATGGACTAAGATGTTGTGATCCAAATTTTTTGACATATAGATAAATAGACAGCTTGTATACACTTTAGAATTATTAAGCTGATATAAGAAATTTTATATAAGTGATCAAAAAATTATCTATATCGAATTTGGTCCTCTATTCGATTTCCTTTGAAAAAAAATACCTGAATTAGATTAAAATGTACTATCATTTGAATAATACATTTCTATTATAACCCAAATTCGATAATATTATATTGTATACTGGTTTAGTGTTCATGAGTAATTTCTGCTATAATAGAATAACTGATTTAGGTTATGCTGACTTGTTGACTTTAATGTGAGTTTAACGAATTGATTATGATATTTGTATGCTAATTTGGCAACCGTATCTGATTTCCATTATTGGCTCACATGGATAAAAAAATATATTTGATGATGCATTCAATTATATATTATCATTTGTGAGTTCAATGTAAGAGCTATGTCCAAATCTGGTACATAATATCTTAGCTTTCTGATTAATTCTTTAATGAGAACCATATTTGAGGTACCTAATACTGAAATAGTATTTGTGATCTTTACATACTGTAATATACTTGAATATCAATTGAGGATGAGGCACATAGTACCGAATTGCTAGTAGTTGTTAACTTTACATAATTTATTCGAATATCATTCAAGAATGAGACACATAGTACTGAATTGTTAGCAGTTATTTGGTGATACATAAAAGCAAAAATTTATCTTATCTCTTTTCTTATAATATTCTGTCTTTGCGTATCATTTTTTTTTTAATATTTAAATTTTACTATTTGATCCTTCTTTTTTTAGTAATACGTAAAAGCACAATTTTTTTTACCTCTTTCCTTATTATTTTTTTACCTTTGCGTATCACCAAAAGTTTACTATATTTTTCAGTTTTAGAAACCTTTCTTGTATAGTTGATGTCTTCAAGTACTTTAGCTTTATATCAAAACATTGGATCACATTATTATATATCTCATGTATATTATATTTTGATAACCTTTACGTATTACTTTTTTGAAAACCTTTATATATCACTTTTTGATATCTACTTAATGATATATAAAAGCTCAATTTTTTTGTAATCTTTGCATATCACTTTTTTAAAAAACCTTTATGTATCACTTTTTTGAAAACCTTTATATATTCTTTTTAATATCTAATAAATAATATGTAAAAGCTCAATTTTTTCTTATCTTTATATATAATCCTTTTTAGTATATAAAAGTTCAAATTTTCTTATCTTTGCATATTACTTTTTTGATATCTATTTGATGATACATAAAAGTACAATTTTCTCTTTTGTTACTTAGATTGCTACTTTTGTATATACAGTATATCAATTTTTACTTCAAACCACATACCACTTACCTAAAATTCATCTTGATCAAAATTATGTGATACAAAAATCCTTTTATATAATATAGTTATCGAAGTATTAATTTTTTATTTGAATTTTTTCCCACACTTATTGTAAGAGGTGACAAAAATCCCCTTACTCGAGCATATACTAGTTAAATATAGTAATATCTCTTTATCCTGAATATCTGCTTAACTAGATTACATTATCTTTAAAAATTCAAAATAGCAATTACACATATTCAATGAGGGTCAAAGAGTAGATTTTTAATTCTTTTTTATGCAGAGTAATAGGAATATCTAATTTAGTCCTAAAATTTGATTTATATTTCAAAAAATCAGCTTCACTAATGTTTTCACATTTTTTTTTATAGTAATTTTGATTGTCTCGCAATTCAAAAACAATTTTGAATCTCTATTGTTCTAACATTTCTTGAGATATTTGAAATTTTTGATGTAAATAGAAAATAAGCATATCAATATTAGATTCATTTTTAATGAGAAATTTCGAAGATAGAGAAGTTAAAAATTCAGATATTTTTTTCTCAACTATGTTGACTTCACCAATAGTAGTATCGACATAACATCTATCTTGGGAAAGTCTAGTAGGTTGATTATGAACTAGTATTTCTAAAGGTAAATCTTTTTTATCAATTATAATACTAAATGAGTAAAAAATTTTATACTCAATATTTTTTAAAGTAATATTTTTAATAATAGGTAAAGAGTCAAAAAGATCCTGAACATCATCACTTATCTTTGACTTATATTATAGAAAAATTGAAGCTATAGAGTAATATTTAGGATTATCTAATTTCCTAGCCATTACTTCTTTTTGATTATCAAAACCACAATTATTATATGGCATTTGGTTAATTTGATATGAATATTTTCAAATTCTTTTTTCTTTAAGTCCTACCAATTTTTATTTACTTTTTATGATATAATTATACCAATTACTAACAATTGCATTAATTATCTTTATAGCTGATTTAATATCTAGTATTTCTTTTATACAAGACCTAAAGTCAAAGAGCAATAAAGCTTGAATTCAAATTTCTATAAATTTTTTATAAGATATCTCAAATGCAACTTTTATCTGATCATCAAAAAGAATGCATTTATCATCTATATCTATAAAATCAAGTGACTATAAAAGCCTTTGTACAGTTTTCCAATAATTCACTGAATATTTTTTATGTAAATCTTTTATTACTGAATTCTTAAAATTATCTTTAGTATTATAACATGTATCTTCCCATTGTGTAAGATTTTTAGCCTTTAATCCTTCTATTGTACTTGCTTTATTATAACTTTGCTTGAAAAAATATGATAGACATAAGAAATTTTTCTAGGTTTAAATAGATTAAAACATTTTACAAAATCTTTATTATGGAGTTTATTTTAATTCTTGATATTCATATCATTTTCACCATAAAGATTCCACATATAAAAATGCTTAAGTGCCATAGTATCTGTAACTGAATATTCTAAATCAAGTTTAAGGAATTCAGCTTTCTCAAGAGTAAGATTTCGAGAAGAGGCAATTATTTCAAAATTTGTATATTTGATAATTGATACTTCAGCTTTAATTTTATTACGAATTGTTTTACGAATTCCTATAACTTTTTGAGTTTCATTTAATTTTATTAATTTAAGACTTGCTTCTGTACTAGCAATAAGGCTACATGAAATCTCAATAAAATTTCTTGCTAAAAGATGTTTCCGATACTCAATTTCAATAAATGATATTACAGTAGATGATTGATCAAGTTTATAAGAAATGATATCTTTATCCCATTCTCAATAACCTTTTATTGCTATAGGTAAATTATTGGGCCAAGCAATTTCAAGTTCTGTATGAATATTTTCATAACCTGATAGGTGAAAAAGCTTATTGAAATTTTTTTGATAATAGAGAGACAGTATACGTTTTTCACAATCATGAATTTGAAACATTATCTGGATAAATGCTTCAATATTAACTGGAGTTTTAATATTTGTAATATCTATAACTATATTAAAGTGATTAGATTTTTCGAAGAAATTCCAGTCTCCACAGTATATGTATATGCCATACAATTGAGTTCACACAAGTAGTTTTAATATCTAAGAAGTCTTCTTTTTGTCATTTTTCATCCATGTCTCCATAATAGGCATGAGCTTTGAAAGATAATTTAAAAGTTTTTTTTATTAATGCTCAAGTTATATTAAAGCTTGTTACAACAAATGCCATGTGTCTGCCTTGTCTAAGAAACTCAAACCCAATTTATATGGCTTCAGCTTCACTATTTGGATCATAAAGATACTCAACAGACTTACCTATAAGTGGTTGGAATTTATTATCAATTATTTAAATATTTTTACAATGATAAGTCTTGAGAAATGTTAATATGCTTTCATTTGCAAATGTATCCATGGCTAAAATATGTTGAGCTGATCTTAACATATTACACATTGTATTTTCAGATTTTCAAGCATTTGGATCACTATTTATTTGACATTAAATTGCATTGACTTCATCTAAAATAGCTACAATTGGATAGGCTGAGAATTCTATATGAGAGAGACTCTCAACTTGAACTATGATAATATCCCACTTATCTATGAATAAGCTCTGTTCATCTTGATAATTACAAATTTTAAGTCCAGATAATTTAAGATCATTAATTTTACCCATTGATTCATTACTAAGAGTTTTCCAGTAAGAAATTCAGATGATACAAGGCAAATCAGCTTTATTCTTGGCTAAATAATTGAGATATTTTCTTAGACCTTTTGTTTTTCCTGTCATTATAGGAGAGCGAATCAAAGTTGTACTGGATTCTTTGCTCAAGAAATTGGGATAAGCTTCTGGGAAATTTTTCATTTCTTTTATATTAATAACTTCTCCAGATAATTCGGGAAATAAATGAGGATTTAATATAGCTTTGACTATTCTTTCATTTAATCCCAATTTAGGTTTCACTTTCGACTCAACTTTATCTGATACCTTATCGGAACTAAGGCCTTTGTGATCCAGCTTATATTGTTTTTGCCGATAGCACTTGAGTATAAAATATTCATTTTTTCGAATAAATCCATATAGTTGATTTTTATCATGTTTAACATCGCATATAGGACATTCTTTAACTGATTGTACCTGAAAGTTAACGAACCCTTTCTCAGTTCTTCCAATCTGGAGCCACCCATATTTTGCAATAACTAAATTGGCTCCCTTAACCAAGGCATTTTTATCATCAATAGGTTGGAATTCTTGTTTTATTGATTCCTCTGGAGAAAAGGTTTATGGCAGGATTTCAGAATAATTCTCTTTCTATGAATCCCTTAAGTTCTCTGTAATCTATGAATCGGGCACGAGGATAAATAATATGCCAACTACGTTCTCAGCATTTGACGAACTAGCTAAAGCAAAAGAATTTAAGAAAGGCATACAATTGGGAATAAGGCTTAATTAATGCATCTGCACAAGCGACTAAAATTCGAGATAGCAAATCTTCTGGTGTAATTTTTTTATCGTCTAAGGAAGGCACTTTAGGATTTGTAGGATTAGGCTTTTGCCTTGCATCAATATCAATAATCAAACGAAGAGGCTGGTGACCATCAATACATTCGTGAGTATCAGGTATTCTATAAACTTCAGAGGGGTGATTAACCAATGCAAACTTTTCTTTTATTCGAATTATATACTGAAAATAAATATCTTCGAGCTGATATGCGTCTAAAAGTGTAGTGTCGTTTCTATTAGAAGAGCTGGTATGACCGTTGGATGCAAGCCAGTATTTATAATATGTATGTTCTCTATGGCCAGATTTATAGTCAAGATCCAAATAAATGATTACGTATACTCTCAAGTTAAAAAATCGTTCTGGCACCTCCTCCACTTTACGTGAAAAAAAATGTTGATCGTAATACAACCCTATAAAAGATGCAATTTTTCTGATGTCTTGCAAAACAAACGTGGCAATAACAAAGGTCTTACAAAAAATAAACTCATCGAACTTAGTTTCACTTATCTTAAATCTGTTTCACGAAAATTAAGGTAGATATATCACTGCATTGTTTGTATGCTAGGTTATCCCTCACGCTCGTGTACATATACTAACAGACCAATTTCCGCTTATAGATGTTGTCAATTGCTGTTTCGGGTACTGCCCCATTTATGGACTTCGCCGGCTTAATGATGTTCGTTGAGAAAATCTCCATCTACTTGCTTATCGGTGTCACGTTGTATTTTTCACGTTTCAGCAAGCAAGACAACAATAATTCCGAACCTAACACTTGTAAGCATAACGCCAATCTTTCTGCGCATGATACCACGTTGAATGAAAATCTTGCCACCGAACTTGGTAACTGAGCTTACAGAAGAAATCCAAAGAATTTTGACATTAATCAACACTTCTACTGCGAGACTTGATGAGATCGAACAGGTCCTTCAAAGAATAGAATCTATCGGAGAAGCGGAACCTGGAGACGATGCAAATCAATCTGAAGCATCTTCCGGTTCGATCTAACGATCGTTTTCGGATACATATTTAGAAATCCTTTTTCCTCTCATGTTCGGAAAAAGATAAATAAATAGATAACAATATTATTGTGATTCATCTAATACCGAGTGAAGCTATGAATTATTAACTTTCTCTCTGGCTTCGAGCATATATATGTGAGAAGGCGGGACGATATGTGTGGTATTATGGCCGCCGATATTCTTAATCTTGGAGTAGGAAAACTTAGTAAAGATATAATCAATCGTAAAATCAATGATTTAAGAGGTAGCAATTTAGATAAAATAGGTGCTTGGATCGATAGCAAAACAAATGTAGTTTCTAATAATTCAGAGTAGCGGGAAGGAACTCTCATTTTATGGGTTAGAGCTCGAGAAATTCCTCCCTTTAAACGTCCGCTACTCTTAAGTTTTTTACTTAGCTCTTATAATAAAGTTGATTTGATTTTTAAATGCATCACTCATTCACGATCAGGATCATGTGACTTTGAGTCGTGTCAATATATATATCGTACATTCGTGCTTTTTTATGCTAACCATGTTTAGAGAAGAATCTTCAGACGAATCATTTCTACTATTACAGGCTCAGGAAATAGTAGAAAAATTCTTCAAAAAAAATACATTCTGGTCGTTGCTTAGCTTTTTGAATTTTAGAGCAAAGACTGAGCATTTTACGCGTGATAAGAGAAAGGAGCATGGTCTGCTTTGGAATTATTGGCGGTGAATAACGCTCAAGCTCGAGAATATCTTTCCGGTTTAGAAGTTAAGTATATATGTTTGTTGCCACTGAGATGATTGGGTTCAAGGGCTAGAATACGTTTCGGTCCCGAGACATTTTACGTGACGTATTGACAAACCCCGAGTAGCTAGCTACTACGCACTGGCTGGTGAGAGTGGAGGTCGTTTCCCCTCGGGTGTTCTTGAATAGACATATGTTATTGCCATGACGCAACCGGATGCTTACGTACCAACTGGTTGTTACACCAAGTTATGGTTCACTCATCTTAACCTTGGTTATATGGGTTATATGGTAGTCTCAAAAAATGTTACCTGATTTTACAATGTCTGTTTTCTTTTTAACAAAAAGAACGAGAAGTCTTCCGGGGGTGTCCTTCATTTCTGGACAGAGATCGAAAAAAGGCAATATGAAGACAATATTGAAAAAGAATCGGTTTGTAGGTTGTGTTTTGCTGTTGTTTATATATACATAGAAAATTTACTTGTTATGTAATATAGCTAGGGTATATCAATGACGTAATAGATGATTCCATCAAAGATTCAAAAGATGCAAGAACGTTTTTATCCGATAAATTGAAGTCATTTGTAAAGGAACATGCTAGGAAGCGAAATCATACAAGTATTAAAAAGTTGGTTTTATATTAATGTTTTTATATGTAATAAATTTTACTTTTCTTCTCAACATCCAGGATCACATGGAAGATTCTCAAGGTCGTAAAGAGTCCTATGAATCAAATCCTGATTTGCACACACCGGATCCCAAGAAGGTCGGTCAGACTAGGACTAATTTATGTTCATTTCTCATTATTTTATACCTGTATTATGCCTTTGTTAAATCATTTTTTCATGGCGTTGCCAATTTAACCATCAATGTCAAAATACACTTTACCACATTAAAAATAGAGAACAATGGTGTCTGTTTTGCATTGGTCGATATCAAACAATTGAGGATATGCATAAACTCGCGCGAGTAAAAAATGGAGATTGCCTTTCAGATCGATACTATAGAGGCGATCCCAATAATTTTATCAAACAGCAGGCACGGGGTCAACTCAAGAAAGAAGAGAATTTGGTTGCCTTAAGGTATGTTTGGTATTACGAAGACCTATATGTAGTTATTTTTGGGAATTGGGTCTTATTAAGTAAACTCGAAACTTTGTGATTTATCAGTTCCATTTTCGAAGTTAGATGACAATCAAAATCATATGACTAAGACACGCACGCAATTATCAAGAAATTTTATTTTTTTCATTTTATAAGACCAAACACATCAATTTTTTATTACGGAAAATTTCAATACCTTTCAACATAATTATCTAGTCTTCAGTTTCAATGGGGATGTCCAAGTATTGTCATAATCTAAATAATAATCAGTGATTTTTTTTAATAATGATTGATATCGTTTATGGAGGTCTTGAATTAATGACTACAAAAGAATAAGGATCAGCTATAACTAGGGAAACGGGGACCGTTATTAAATCCGGAGCAATATTCGGGATCGTATAATAATATATATCATGTGACCGTACAGACAACGGAAGCACGTGACAGATCATGTCACCTTACATAATCCTACACTACACTTCAGATTAATAAGAATGATTGAATATAAATATTATAATTATCCACAATGTTAACATTCTTATAGTCAAAAAATTCCTCTGATCATACACAAAAAAAATATTCACAAGAAGTTTTATACTTATTTGCTAATAAAGTCTTTACACTTTCATTAAAACAACTTGAAGCTTGTCTTCATGTACAGTATCTCTCTTACCTTCCCTTACTTGTTTATAAACTCCTTTGAATAAAAATTTGAGACTCTAGTGGCCTGAAAAGACTTAAGTATGTATTTTCTCTATTAAGGGCAAGAAGGTTCTAGAAAATAAAAGAACTGACAAGTGGAGTGTTACCTTACAGAGCTAGAAATGAAAATCGAGATTTTGTTAACAGGGAAGATTTATTATCCATCTTCTCACATACTGTCTTGTACCCTCTTAAAGTAAGTGCCTATTGATTTTTATAATTTTCTTGAGGAATTTTGCCTATCTCAGTTTGATCCTGAATTACATGGAATCTGATTGGTTAATACAAAACATGAAAATAATAGAATGTAAACAAGCTTCTATTGATCATCCAATGTGTTACAATAATGTTATTGGTGATAGAAAGAGTTTATTGATGTCCTGTGTCCACACCGCTTCTTCAATTGGATTAATCTACAGATCAAGTTCCATGAGACCAATAAGATATGAGCAACAAGTCCCCAGGTAGTGAAAAAGCTACTATTTGTTCAAGCTGAGGTCTTTCTCTCCTATTATTTTGGTTAGGCAAAGTTCAAAACTAAGGTTTCCTTTTATTCCAGTTAGGCAATAAGATTGAATAGTCTTTAGTCCATGCTAAGTTTCAACCCTTTGGTTACAGTTGAGAATATATTTCCCTAAAAGTTATTGAAGGATATTGTAATTGATGAGGATCTCCACCACTTTTGAGACCCTCCTATCATTACAAGGCAAAAGGATTATTGGAGAATCTGATTTTTTGGATAATGGAAAATATATACCAATTAAATTTCTTTAACTAAGTGTGGTTGCTGGAAGATATCATACTAAAACAACATGACTTAATCCTTATTAGGTCACATAAGAACCTGAAGTCTATCATACTGTAAGTCATTTCTCTATCACAGGTAAATAAAGAATCACTGCCCAAAGAAGATTGGAACCAAGTGTGTCCTGGAAGTAAAAGCTATTACTAGGTGATAAGTTTTCTTAAATGGTACACAAGAAGGAAATTAAGATCAAGAATAGATAAGTTCCTCAAATGGTCAGGAAAAGAAAGGATATCTCAATCAGATATTTCTTATTGAGAAGAGGTCTTGAGAAACAGATCTTTGAAAAAAGCTGGAAATATTTTTTTTTCAATTTTTACTCTTTCATTTTCTTATTGTCTACTTAGACATTTTTAAATATCCCCTTCCCCTTTTTTCAATCCATCCTTTTGTAGTTTCCTGTATTTCAATGGCTTGGTCAAACATATGGCAGTGACAACTTGCTGGCAATAATGCAATAGACTAGAAGGGTTTTCACCCAAAGATACTGTGAAGTGAAATATTATCTCCCAAATCAAACTTAGAAACTTTTATGCTTATGACAAGTTAGATTAGAATAATAGTTTAGCTGTAGTATGTATCATGCTGCTCGAATGAAAATGTACTTATGTTTTCAATTGATTAATAAACTGACAATCTAGCCTGGCTACGGGTACTAAAAAAAAAAAATTCTTACAGCCGACTTCGTTAGATTTGGTAAAGATGTAACTTGTTCTGGAATGTCAAATTCCATTATTGAAAAAACAATAGGGCGCATTTTAACTGGTCAATTAGCAAGGTATACGTCAGCCGTTGTTCCTGTAAAATTTATAAAAATTAAAGTTTATCGAAGATCTTGCATTAACGATCAGACATAGGTTACTTACCACAGAATTGAATGCAAAGGATGGGCAAATCTGATATTTCGCATACAATTTTCTCTGGTAATGAGGATACTATAAGCTTGAACATTATAGCTATTGCTTCGTGCAATTTTGACAAGTCTCTATCTCTTTTTGACAATATTGATGTGGTTGCTGTTTCCACATAAATAAATTCGATTTTTCTATTAAATGACAAGACTCCGTCATATTTTGGCGCTTTTGATGATTTAATTCCAAGTAATTTTTGTGCTTTGCTTGCGACTTCACCGCTATTTATACAAGAACAAAATTGGTTGAATACAACACAAGATAACACAGCAGATTCTATTTTGAACATACCGCCGGAGGATACAATCATTGAGTGAAGCTAAGCAATCGTCGAAGAATGGCGCAACAATGTTGCTGTTGTACCATCCTTCTTGTAATTCGGAACTATCTAGATTTAATATACCCTTGTCCTGGAAAAGAAAAAAACCGAATACAAGATAAATAAATGTTTTTACATAAATATAAAGAACACATTGTATCTAATACTTACAATTTCTCAAAACAAATGATGTAAATATACTGTATCTCTATTTGGATTTTCGTAATTAATGGTGATACTTGAAAGAGCATTTCCAAGTTCCGATAATGATGTCTAAATATATTAACTATAAGCAATAATATCAAGCTATTTTTTGTGTTTCAGTTAATACATACTACATTTAAACACTTCAAAGTTTCCAAAGCATCTTCTGACACGGCTCTTTGTGGTTTATATTTCTTCATTTCTGCTTCAAAATAAAACTTTACAGATTGTCCCAAGACGTCCATTATTCTACTACATTCAGGTCGACAATACCATAACTTAATGATGATTTCACTTTTTCCTTCTTTTCTTTCTCAAATAAGCCTATTAATTTTTCTTCGATATCTATTTCACAAATAATTGCATCAAACTGCCAGGGAGACCAAGCTATATCTATATATTCATTATTAGTTATAAATCGTGGTTGTTTATAATTGTGAGATGAGGGAGGAGGAGGAGTCGTAGGAATTGTTGTCGGTGTTAGGTGAGGCTTTATTTCGTTACTTGAATTGGTTAAGATATTTGAAACCTTATAACTGTAAGGAGTCGTAAGAACTGTAGATGTTGGTGAGTCCCCCACTTCATTACTTTCTGAATCGTTCAAAATATTTGATATATTCAACATGCTTGCAGATGTGTTGGTGCCCTAAATAGCAGGATTGAAGAATCAGGTCAAGCTTTAGTTTGGATCACAATATGTTCCGATTTTTCTGGAAGACATAACATTACTGTATTGAATACAACAACAATATGAATAACATACTTCATCTTCCTTGATGTGTTCGGTTACTAAAAACGGATTATTCCCGACATCTTCGATTAATTCTTGGTACGTCTGTGTCTTACTTTCGTCACCTTCGATGTTCCACTTTGTCTGAATGAAAAACATTGTTGAAGCTAATACAGAAAATAGCCAGTTCCGAGTGATAGCAGTTACTGACCCTTGTTGACCGTTTCGGCGAGCTTGTTTCACAGCTGTCCAAAAATCTTTTGGTAACTCTGGTAGTGGTCGATCTTACATATGTCTTCATCTGCTGGGTCACCTCATCAGCTAAAGTTAGATCATAGTCGGCCTATTCATAATAATAAACCCGAAATTTAATGGTTTAATCGAGATATCAGCTAATATGGGCGGTTCACAAACCTCTATATGTTTCTTTTTTTCACTGCTGAGTTTTTTATCGATCGACATCCAGAAGTTTTCTACGCTTGCGGAAGACTTCTCATTCTTTAAAAAAAAAAAAATGGATGTCAGTATAAAATTAAAATAACAATGCTTAAACTACTCTACAACCCATTAAAAAAACAAAGGTGGACCATAACATGACACGTAGTCTGACAACCAGTTGGTACGTAAGCATCCAGTTGCGTTATGGCAATAACATATGTCTATTCAAGGACGACCAAGGGAAGGCGTACTTCACTATCACCAACCAGTGCGTAAGTGGCTAGCTACTTGGTGGTTTGTCAATACATCACGTAATTGTCTCGGGACAGAAATGTATTCTAGTCCTTGAACCCACTCATCTTAAAGTCAATAAATAACTTAACTTCAAAATTAGAGAGATATTTTATAGCTTGAGCATGTTCCCTGGTTGATAGAGTCAGAACAGCCTTATACAACATATGTTCCTTTCTTTTATCGTAAGTAAAATCATCGTCTTCCACTCTATATTTTAGGAACTTGATTAATGACCAGTCCGTATTAGTCTTGAAAAAGTTTTCTAACACTTGTTGTTGCAATTCAAGAGTCATAGTAATACACAGTGAAATTCGATATAACGGAATCTTCGGTTCCAACGTTATATTGTTATTATGCTTGGCTTGTGTAACTCCGTTATAAATCACGTTTTTACAGTGAAGGGTGGCCGGAAATAAGCACTATGCATATGCGGCCCTTTTTTCGCATATTATATGCGACCGCATATTTGTCACCTTATGCTTATCCAGCATATCGGACGCATATCTAGCATATCAGTTATAGCATATTATATAATTTGCGCAGTTAGCGCAATTTTTCTGATCATCTATTAAAATAAAAAAAAATGATTACCGCTAGTGAACGTCAACGAGAATGTGACCTTTATCGAGAAAATTTTTACATAGAAGGCAAAAAACTATTTTGTGTTTTTTGCAACTGTGTAGTAAATCATGAAAAAAAGTTTTCAGTTGATTAACATTTGAAAACTGAAAAACATAAAAATAATAAAAAAAAACCATACAAAGAACATGCCAACTTACACTTACAGGTTCAGTTGATTTAGCAAGTGATCACAAAACAATTAATGTAGATCTGGTTCGAGCATTCACTCAAGCAAACATACCATTAGAGAAAATTGATAAGCTTAAACCATTTTTGTCTCAATATTGTAAAAATAGTAAGTTATATTATATTATATTATATTATATATATTTTTCTAATTTATTTTTATAAATAGGAGGTACCATTGTTGGATCTTTGCAACTTAGAGAAAAATATTTATCAATTGTATATAATATAGAATTAAAAAATTTAAAAATTGTTTTGATAGAACAAACAATTTCAATTACTGTTGATGAATTAACTGATAGTTGCGTACATACAACTGTAAATATTTTGTTAAGTTTTAAAAATTTTACAAAACTTGTTAGAACTAAACATTTGGCAATTGTAGATAATTCATCTATTGCACAATTAGTTATGTGTACTATTTATTTTTATGATACTGTATTTCTTTTGAAAATATTATTTTATTCATTTCAGATAATGTTTCATATATGTTAAAAACTTTTACTGTTTTATCTCCTTTAATTCCTCAAATGAAATATAATTGTTGTTTTGCACATATTTTAAATTTGATGAATAATATTTGGATAGAATTTAATGATTTTAAACCATTAGAAATTGCTATTCAAAATATTAAAACATCTTTTGTTCAAAATAATTCTTGCAAAAGAAGATAGATTTCTTTTTTAAATTCATTTTTCATTTTATAATTCAACTTTACCTCCTTTACCTACAAAAACTAGATGGAATTCTTGGTTTAATTTTGTTTTTTGGGTAGAAAAACATTTACATTATTTGAAAGTTTTTTTTCTTCAAGAAGAAAATACAAATAATGAAAGCAAGGTAGTTAAAGAATTAATATCAATGTTTAATAATTTAACAAATACTTTTATGTTTGAAATTTTAACAATGTTTATTGCATTTAATACAAAAAGGTAAGTTATTTATATTATAATTTTAATTAATTAATTAACTAATTAACTAATAATTATTTTTTTATTCTTATAGTCTTTATAATAGTTTAGAATTTTTTAAAATTCATAACAAACCTATAGCACATCTTGTGTTTACAAAATTACATTTACTTGAATCTCATTTACAGTCAGGTACAATTCAACCTTCAATTAGTAGTGAAATGAATATCAAATTTAATTCTTTAAATGTGGATTCATCAATATTTCAAGAAATATTTCATAGAACTTTTTAATCAGCATTAGATAAGTTTAAAAAACATATTGATTATCATTCTGCATTACCATTATTTAAAGTTATTCAATGTTTTAATCCTCAATTTATACAAGTTAGTCAAGCTAAATATAATATTCAAAGATATAGTGAAATCAAAGAATTTAAAAATCCTAGTAGTATTATTTTATTTGAATGGAGAATTTATTGTGAATTAAATGAAGATTTTGAAGAAGATAATGAATTAGATTTAGATAAATACTGGAATGATAAAAAAAATTATCTTCCAAATTTGTCTAAAATAGTATTAATGTATATTTGGCTTCCAGTATCAGCAGTTGATGTAGAAAGAAGTTTTTTATCTTATAGAAATCTTTAGTGATAAACGTTATTCATTATCAGAGGAATCAATTTGCATTTTAAATTTTTTATATTTTAATAAGGATTAATAAATATAATAAAATTTTTTCTTTTTTTTCACATTTTTTTCGCATTTTTTAACTTTTTTGCATTTTTTTTACATTTTTTTGCATTTTTTTGTATTTTTTCGGACATATTTTAAAGCCATAAAGGCCATATTTCGGCATATATAATAAATTACTGCACGCATATTTTTGATTGGCCAACACATATATGCGGCCACCCTAGTTTGACCCTGAATTTTAGGTAATACAATCTATTGTAAAATATAATTTATAGATATGAAACATATTAGTTGTTTAATATAAACAAGTACTTATTTGTTATTTTATATGTTTTAATGATATTATTGATAATAGAAAGAATTAATTGATATCACGTTTCTGTCCTATTCCTTCAATTGAATTAACTGATAGATCAAGTACTATAATATCAATAAGATATAAGCAACAAGTTCCTAAACAATGAAAAAGCTACTATTTATTTAAGCTAAAATCTTTTTTTCTTATTATTTAAGTTAAATAAAGTTTAAAATCAAAACTTCTTTTTTATTCTGATCAGGTAATAAGATCTAACAGTTTCTAGTCTATACTAAGTTTCAATCTTTTGATTACAATTGAAAATATATTTTCTAGAAGTTATTAAAGAATATTGTAATTGATAAAAATTCCCATTACTCTCAGGACCTTTTCACCATTATAAAATAAAAGAATTATTGAAGAATCTGATCTTTTGAGTAATGGAAGATATATATCAGTAAAATTCTTTTAATGAGGCATGGCTGCTGAAAAGTATTATATTGAAACAACATGGCTTAGTTTCTACTGGATTACATAAGAATTTGAGATTTATCATAAATAACCTCTTTACTATAGATGGATAAAAAATTACTGTCTAAAGAAGATTGGAACCAAGTGTATTCTAGAAATAAAGGTTTCCACTAGATGATAAGTCTTCTCAAATGATATATAAGAAGAAAATCAAGATTAAGAATAGATAAGTTTTTCAGATAGTCAGGAAAAGAAAGGATATTCCAATCAGATATTTCTTATTGAGAAGAAATCTTGAGAAACAGGTCTTTAAAAGAAGCTAGAGAATATTATTATTTTTTTCTTTTTATTTTCTTATATATCTACTTGAATATTTTTCAATATATACTTCTCTTTTATTTAACTTATCTTTTGTAGTTTTCTGTATTTCAGCAGCTTGAATCAACTTATAATAGTATTAAACTGCTAATAATAATACAGTGGACTAGAAAAGTTTTTACCTAAAGACATTGCAGAGCAAAATATTATCTCCAAGGTCAAACTTAGAAACTATTATACTTATAACTAGTTAATTAAATTAGAATAATAGTTTAACTGTAATATTCATTATTTTACTCAAATAAAAATATACTTATATTTTCAATTAATTAATAAACTCCCAATTTAGTCTGACTACAAGCACTCAAAAAAAAAATAGATTTTTATTTTATTTTATTTTATTTTTTTAAATCCTCTGTCAGGCTAGTTATGTGTGCTTTATTAAACAATTGTAAGCTATACATATAGTATGAATTGCTAAAGCTAAAA